GGGGGGGGGGGGGTTGCGGTCTAGTTTACGCCGTAAAAGTCTCGGTGCATATGTATAGGCCCGCGGACAATCTCGAACATGAGTGCCCCAATCGACACAACAGGTCCGGGCAGGCGCGGCAGATTCTTCTCGGAGGCGCGCGCTTGCGGTTAGTATTCGGGGATAAGGGCAGCAAGTATTATGTGGACGTAACAGAATCAAAGCGCGCATCTCCGCATAGAATTTGGCGGAGATGCGCGCAATTCAAAATCAAATCGCGCGGGGCAGGCTCGCGGTACCAAGATCACGTGACCGCGTGTAGAAATCCGAAGCAACGTCGACGCGAATCGCGAGGATGGGACGAGTCACCAGAAAGATCGATGACGCACCAACGACCATCATACTGCGCTCACTTGTGACGCTTCTGCCAGCCGATCCATAGCATACACACGCATTTCAGCCGACTCGACACTGCCAACGAGCATTACTGTCATCATGACGACACCACAGGATGCGGCTTCGGCAGCAGAGGGCGCAGGACTTTCGCACGCTGCGTCCACCAATGAGCAGGTAGAGATCCAGCAGGTGGAAGAGCTCAAGTGAGTGGCCGCAAAGCGATACGAGTCGTCTGCATGTCGAGAACAATGCCATAGCACCGGCTGCCGGACAGCCACGCGGATGCGCAATAGCTGACCATTCGCCATGATCTGCATTCTGACAGCGAGGATGGAACGCCGCTGTCGGACAATCAAAAGAAGAAGCGAGCCAAGGCGTTGGAAAAGGAGCGCAAAAAGGCAGAGACTGCTGCCAAGGTGGCCGCGGAAAAGGAAGCTCGGGAGAAGGCTGATGTGGTGCGTTGGGCATGTCAGCTCGACTACCTGCATCACGCTCACGCTCTCGCCCTCGCCCCCCGCCCCCCAGGACTTTTCCGCTCAAAATTATGGCGCACTGCCACTCAACCAGTCGCAGGAGAGGACGGGCAGAGCGTATGCCAGCATCGCCCAGTTCAATGGCTCTCGCGATGGCGAAGCGGTCTTTTTTACCGCCCGCATTCAGACATCACGTTCGCCATCGGGTGAGTGCGCGACCGAGTCAGTGCAGCACTGAGCATTCCCGCTCATCTTGCACGCCCCCCCGCAGCCAAAATGGTCTTTTTGACGCTGCGCAACCGCTTCGATTGCGTGCAGGCCGTGCTCGCTCAAGCTCCAGAGCGCGTATCGAAGCACTTTGTCAAGTGGGCGGCCAGTCTGGTCCCCGAGACGCTCGTCGCAGTCGAAGGCACCTTGGTCAAGTCTCCTGTGCCCATCGAGTCAGCCACGGTGACAGTCAAGGATGCAGAGGTGCGCATCTCCAAGCTGCACGTCATCTCTGCCATCACCACCGACGGCCCTCTGCCATTTTACGTCGACGAGGCGGTGCGCTCGGATGCTGAAGTGGCCGCATCTCAGAGCACCGACAGGCCAATGGCCACGATCGGTCTGGACACGAGGCTCGACAATAGGGTGCTCGACCTCAGGACGGTGACCAATCAGGCCATCTTTCGCATCCAGCACGGCGTCTGTCGACTGTTTCGTGAATACCTCGAAGATGCCGACTTTATCGAGCTGCACACGCCCAAGCTACAAGGCGCGGCCACCGAGAGCGGCGCTTCCGTCTTCAAGGTCAGCTACTTTAAAGGCGATGCTTTCCTGGCACAAAGCCCTCAGCTTGCCAAGCAAATGGCCATCTCTGCCGACTTTGGTCGCGTGTACGAGATTGGCCCCGTCTTTCGCGCAGAGGACAGCAACACGCCTCGTCACATGACCGAGTTTACCGGTGTCGACTTGGAGATGGCATTCGACGAGCACTACCACGAGGTGCTCGACCTCTTGCGAAAGCTCTTTTCCTTCATTTTCCAGCAGCTGCCCAAGCGCTACGCTCGCGAGTTTGCTCTAGTGAAGCGCCAGTACCCTGTGCCAGACTTTGAAGTGCCAGACGAGGTGCCTCGCATCACCTTTCAGGAAGCGGTGGACATGCTGAGAGCGGATGGTGTGGAAATTGCCGACAATGAGGATTTCAGGTGGGTCGCATATACACCCATAGTAGTGCGCCGCTGCTAATGCGCGCTACCCTCATGTCTGCCAGCACGGAGCAAGAGCGAAGGGTAGGCGCGCTCGTCAAGGAAAAGTATCACTCTGACTTTGTTGCTATTGTGAGTTGGCCTGCGCGTGCGCGTGCGCGTTCGCGTGCGATGCTGGCCTGCGCGCGATGCTCATGCCGTCGTCTTTCTGCAGGACAAGTACCCGCTCGCGGTCAGGCCATTCTACACCATGCCCGACCCACAAAACCCTGTGAGTGAAGGAAGCTTGTCGCGCGAGCGCACTGCCCACTCACCGCGCCCCATCGCAGGCCGTGTCGAACTCGTACGACTTTTTGATGCGAGGACAAGAGATTCTTTCCGGAGCTCAGCGTGTCCACGATGCCGGCTTGTTGGAGAAGCGAATGGCGGAAGCTGGCATCAAGCCTTCGGACATGCCCTCCTATCTCAACGCTTGTGAGTCACGAGCGCTGCCAAAGGTTTCGAAGTGTGCGCGACGTTGACAGCGGTCTTTCTGCTGCACGTCACGTAGTCCGATCCGGATGTCCTCCTCACGCTGGCGCTGGTATCGGGCTCGAGCGCGTAGTCTTTTTGATGCTCGGACTAGGCAATATTCGTCGCGCATCGTTGTTTCCCCGCGACCCCAAGCGTCTTGAGCCTTGAGCAGCGTTGGCGCAAAACAAAAATGGCAGCGCCCGCAGCAGCAATTCTAGTCAATTTCGAAAACTCTCTGAATGGGCCCGCCGCTTTGAGTCGTCGCGTCGAGCACTTGCTTGATCTGAGCGCGGATCGACGATCTGGCGGTCGTGCAGCAAAACGTTCTCTCCGATCTCTAGAATGTCGTGGTGCGCCTAGCATGTGGCACCGAGATCGAGCTGGATGCAAAGTTGCCTCTCGCGATGCAAAGTCGCCTCTTTTTCCCTTATCGCGTTATCGCGTTATCTACCAACGCACGCGCGCAGCTCCCCGCGGCCGAGTGGAAGTCGGCAGTCACGAGTGCTGCGTGCGAATGCGCGCGCGCAGGCAAGCGAGTAGATCAAGGTGCGGCAAGTGTCCACTTAAAAGCACGCCCTTTGTTCAGCATTCAAAAGCACGAGACTCACCACTTTTTGATCGGGTAAGCCTTGCTAGCAACGACACTTGTGGCCGGCCTCTCAGCGCGCACAAGCCTAATTACGGATTCCCTCAGTCGTCGGCCGTGCGCATTTTAGCTCGTCGGATGCTTGTGCTTTCACCCACGAGCTTGGCGTACGTGACCGTCGATTGCTTGGCGTGAAGATGACCTCGACGACTCACCGACGATCTTCTCGTAGCCAGGGCGATGTCTGGTCCACGGCCGTGGGCGCCGCGAGTCTGGCGTGGGTAGCGTGGAGATGGTATGAGAGCTCGAGAAAAGCATCAGCCTCATCAAGCAGTCAAAGGCGAGCAGAGGTCGGGAAGGGGGGCGGAGTCCAAGACGCGGTGAGCAGCGCACTCGAGCGCGCACGCGCGCGTGCGCTCAACTCGAACTGATCATCCGCCGCCTATCGACATTCACGTGATTAGGGCTTGACAGCTGCTGATCAACGATCCAGCATGTCTATCGCTCTGCCAGCCGACTTTCAGCGCACCCAAGCGTCTTTGCATTCACTGCGAGAGTTTCTCCAAGTTGTGTCTCGAGCACATCTGGTCCACCTCTTGGCCTCTGCTGTCGACAGTCCATCGAGACCCCTGCACGTGGAGCTCAGAGGTATCCCGGGCTACGATACGAGGCGCACGCTAGAGTACAGGAATGCAGGCGCAAAAACGATGCTGGTTGCTACGATGCGGTGTAGGATTCAAGTGGAGATTCGAAACAGCTCTGCAGAGCTCCAGAACAGCCGCGCGTCGTCATGCGACGGGGTCAGGAGCGCAACGGCAGACGTCGGTCGTCCAGGTAGCCTGCAAGTGCTTCTGATCTTGCCAGACGTTGCATTAGCAACAACGAATCTCGACGGCAACCAGACGTGGTCATGCACCGAGCAAGGCCCACAAGATGATTCGGGGCCCACATCGGCGTGCCACGCTGCAGGCAACATTCGTGTCATCGACTTGCGCTGCGAAGCGGACGCAGAGCTGGCATGGATCAGAGCAGCTCGCCATATCACAGACCTCGTTGCCTCGCAGGCAAATCAATGAGCGCCGTACCGCGTCTCAAGCATTGTGTTGGGCGTACCGCTTGATTGAAGGCCTGCCCTTGGAGTGAGCAGACAGTCGCGCACAGAATCTAATGCCAACCATCTGCGCGTCCGTGTGTGGCCTGCTTTGCGACCCTCGATCCAGGCGCCATTACCTCGAATGGAAGGCCGGGGGGCCAGACTCACGACTTTGAGAAGGGTAGGAATGATTCTTCGAGCAAAAGCTGCACATGTGAGTCGTGCGTGCATGTGACTTGAAGACGTGAGGCAACAGCATTAGCCCAAGGTCTGTGCTATGATGGAACCGAGGACCTGGGGCCGTTGTTGGCGTGACGCGTCGCGTCGCGTCGCGTCGCGAGTGATGTGCTTGCGCGACGCGCAGAAGCGGCATTGCTCGTGGCTAGTCACATACGTGCTGAAGCGGCTGACGGGTCCGGCGCCGGAAGAATCGTGAGCGTAATCTGCCGATGAGTGATGTTCTAGAGGGGAAGCGCGCGCGACAGCGGACACGGAGTGTACCGTACCGGTACAGCCTTGAGTGACCGTGCGTGACCCCTCGCAATCTTGGTCCCCTTTGTGCATGTAGATGTGCGGATGTGCGGATGTGCGCAGCAGTCGTGAGTGAGTGAATGACGGACTGCATGGCACCTCTCCTGAAGCGGACGACGCCTCTCTCACATGCGCGTGCCCACATGCAGGGGGAAATCTGACGACCTGCTGTCCGGCCTCTAGCCTCCTGCTGCCTCGATCGCGTCCAGATGCATGCAGCGCTGGGTCACTCCTCGCCGCGCGTGCAGCATAACATGCCCGCCTTGCCGCCCGCTGCTGCTGCTGCTGCTGAGATGGCGGTGCAACGCGATCAAGCAACGCAACAGCACTGCGCGCGCGGGCGCTGGCGAGCGGGCGGTATACGGGACCGCGCATACAGCCGAAGCCGAGAGTTGACCCGACCCGACCGAAGCCAAAAGTCCAACCAACACCACCTGGCCACACGCCATCATCACGCCGATTCATTTACAACATCATTCTAAGCCCTCGCCATTCGCCTAGATCTTCCGTCTCGCACGCCTGCATACATGCATCAACACTTCCATCATGCGACCCTGAAAAGAGTTCATCAACGCACCGACCACTTGAAGTTAGCAGACGCCGCCTCTGCTCTCGCAGCGGGCCGACAACCACGAGGATGGTGCTACAAGTCATGCAGCCATCTGCCCAAGTCTCGCCAGACCCAAACAAATTCGATGGCAAGGCAGGTCGAGATGTGAGCGGTGAAGCAGAGAAGCTGCTGGTGGAGAGTCGCAACTCGGCAGGGGTCGTTGCCGCCATCACCGGCTCGAGCGCATTGAGCAGGCTGGCTGCCAGTGGTCCCAGTGAGTCAGGATGGCAGGGCTGAACCTACACTCAACAGGCGCACATACGTGTCCTCTAACACCGCTCTCCTCACCAACTCCGTGCGCAATGCTAGCCTTGCTACCCACCCAAATTGCCGAATTTGTCACCTCGCTCTCCCTCTTGGCGCGCGTCTCTCTCAAATCTGCGGCCTTCTTCATCGAAGTGGTGCTGGAAGGCGCAAAGTACGGCACAGGATTCGGCCTTGGACTGACTCGTCGAGCTCTCATCTCGGCCGTCGGCTCTGCTCGTGCTCTTCACGCTTTGAAATCCGGCGAGGACTGGAGGCCGGGAGAGCTGACGCACGATGACCGGTGAGAGCGCGCACAGGCAGAGCTGCGACTGAATGCGCTCCGTGGCAATGCTTGCTGATCGCCTCGGCAATGCAACCTCCTCCAGCGACGGATTTCTCGCGGTCCTGGACAGGTACACCAGGTGAGTCCCTCGACTGCAGGCCTGCACGCACTCTGCTGATCACGACCCACACGCACTTTTATGTCCAGCCTGGGCATTTACCTCATCCACTCCAGCTTTACCATGGCAGAACTCTTTGCCATGTCCGGATTCTACCTCGTCGACGCGTCCCTAAAGACTGGCTTGAACGCAGCAAACGAGTCAGTGCGCCTCATCGACGGCATCTTTGGCTCCAACGAAACGAGTCGAGCGCTGGCATCCTTTATCGGCCTTGTACGTCGCGAGCTGCTATCAGACGAGGAGTATGCAGCGGCCACCGGCGGTCACTGGTGGGGTCTGGCAGCACTGACAAAGGCCTTGACAACATTTGCCGTCGTGCAAAACGCAACGTATCGCAGGACGGCGCATACACACCGCATGCGCGTGCTGTACGATTGCACGCTGCTAGGAGAGGCAGAGTATCGCGGCTGGAAAGCTAGCGCCTTGATCGTTGGTCCAGGCAACTTCAACAAGGCCAAGTCCAGTCCGCACACTACCAAAGCATTGCCTGCTCCTCCCAGCGCCGAGCGTCTGACCCCACCCTCTGAAGGCTTGCTTGCATCCATCAAGGGGCGCTTTTCTCGTGATGTGACACCGAGACCGGAGATGGCTGCTCGCAGATTGTCCCGCGCATCCTTGCTTTCTGGAACTGGCTTCGAGGAACCCTGCTTTACGGATGTGACCTCACCGCGTCGTCCAGACTCGCTGCGCTTGTCTCCTCGCCAAGCAGCTAGGCAGACCGACTCCGTCACTCACGACTTGCAATTTTTGGTCGGCGCCGAGGGCGACAGCCAGAGTGAGAGCGATGACGACTCGGTCGCTTCGACCGCAGGGACCGTCTTGGGACGCACAAGAATGCAGCGGAGCCAGCTACCCCGCGATGTGCAACGCGTCATTTCTAATGCGGACGATGCGGGGCTGCGCAAAGGCGTGGTGCTGGAGCCTGCATCAGCGTCAAAGGCTCCAGTACGGCAGGTAGTCAGGAGACAAGGTCAAAAGGGAGCGCGAGAGGAAGTTTTCGAGATTACGACAGAGACTGTCGAAGTGGTGGAAACGACCACAACGGTTCAACAGAGCGCTTCCAAGCCTGCTCATTCTGGGCCTTTCGGTTTCCGCAAAGCGAGCCCTTTCAAGGCTTTGATGGGCCAGTCTGCGTCTCCTGCGCGTCGACCTCAGGTGACGCGGGCTGAGGATGATGTGGAGGATGACTTGCGGGATTTGGCAATGCGCGAGCGCGACGTGCGCTCGCTATCGCGCGAGGAGCAACATACTGCAGAGGAAGAAGATTGGACTCAGATTTTGAGCACGCCTCGTGGAGCTGCTGCCGCTTTCGCCAATGAGAATCGCAATGGGGACGACGCTCACAATTCGCAAGTCGTAGAGCTCTTGCACAATGCGATGGATCCCGGTCGCATACCCACGGAACCGAACGGTGGTCCAGCAGCTTCGATCGCCGCGCGCTCTCGATCGGACATGCTCGAGCAGCCGGATCAAGCTCGTCAGCGACTTCAAGTGACGCTCAAGACAATGACGCGCAAGCTGACGCAGAGGAAGCGGGTCATTCGACGTCTTGATGCCGAATACGATCGAGATGAAGGACTGGTCGCAGGTCCAAGCAGCGACACACCGTCGCAAGCTCTAAGCTCAAAGTCCGGATCTGCAAGTCAACTTGATCACATCAAATACAGAGCTGAGCAAGGCAAGTCAGCCAGGACCACATTTGGCTTGCAAGACGCCTTTGCACGGAGCAAAAAAGCAATGCCACCTCCTGTGCAAAAGGACGAGGCGCCGAAAAGGCTCGGTCTTGGACTGCACGTTCCTGGTCAGCAGTCAGCTGCTGCGACGAATCAGAGTCAACCGCGGTCGAGTCAGTGGGACTCGCGTAGCTCTAATGTGCAACTTTCAGCCTCGTCGAACCACACGAGAAACGGGCTTCGAGACTCGCGGCAGCAGCCCCAGGCGCCGCCTAGAGGAAATTCCAAATTACGCAGTGGCCACTCCCACGCCCTTCAAGACGATGCGCACAAGATGCTCCCCGAGCCTCCTGCATCGAAGCGGAGGTCGCGAGCTCTGTCGATCACATCTGTGCAATCCTTTAGCTCTCGCCTACACACCTCGACGACCTCCAGCACTCCCCGTCAAGGAGAAGAAGAGCATGGGCCTGGCTCCTCTTATACCCTCTTCCCAAAGCAGCATCTGGTGACCAACCTGCGGCGTTTCATGCGCCACGCAAGTGCGGCCTACGGTCAGGTGCGTTACCCCTCGGCAGCGTCTGCAATGGCGAAATCAGCTGATGCATGTGATGCTGCGCCCGCAGAATTTCATGCGAATCTTTGGGATTGGCGAAGCAGACGTCATCTTTGGCGATACAACTAAGCACCATTCCAACGTCTACAGCTTTTGGTGAGAATATGCACTGCTGCACGCTTGCATTGCCACGCTGACTTGGCGCCCCCTTCCAGCCACCACGTCGGCATTCCCACAGACCACGTCCTGCTCAGCTCTTACACCGAGGGTGGCGAAGCGCCCTTCCATAGCCCCGACATTCCACCCGTAGTCAACTACGTCAGCATCGACGACGTCTCGAAAGCCATTGTTCTCACCTGCCGAGGCACGTTGGGACTCTCTGACATCTTGACAGATCTCACCTGCGAGTTTGAAGATACTTGGGTGGATGGCGGCAGACCGGATCACGTCTACAAGGTGCATGCTGGCATGGCTGCTTCAGCCAGACGCCTCGCCTCCCCTGGCACCACGGTCCACAAGACGCTGCGTCTGGCGCTCGAGAGCAGGCCAGACTATGGTCTCGTGCTGACAGGGCATTCGCTAGGAGCAGGCGTCACCTCCATGCTCGCGCTCGATTGGAGCTCCCCGGCAGACGTTTTTCAACAACGCGTGCTTGCTCGGCCAGAGGATGCCGCAGACGTTCGTCATCCTCGCATCTATACGCCTTTCGTCACGTCCCTCGATTCCGGTCTGCCAGCTGGTCGTCCTATCCACTGCTTTGCATACGGTCCACCCGCGATCATGACGCCAGATCTGAGTCGTTACTGCCGAGGTCTGATCACATCCGTGGTGCACGCGTTTGACATTGTGCCTTGCTTGTCGCTCGGCACCCTGCACGACCTGAAACGCGTTGCTGCGTCGTTGAGTCACGAGCAGGAATCAGCCATGGCTCAAGAGGTGCTCGGTCGAGTCGTCGGCCTGTACCAGCGGCGCCGCCGTCTCCAGGGCGATGTTCCGACGTCGGATGCACAGGGAGCACCAGCGATAGACGCTACGCCTCGGCCTACGGACGTGCCTCTCCACGAGCGAGAGCAAGAGCTCGAGCTGAAAGAGCTCGCTGCTGGCAGACCGCGTAACAGAGCTGGTGATCCTGGCTACAAGGACCCTCGTTTGACCGTCGAGCCAGAAGAAGCGACGAGCGCGCCTACCGACAGTACGGACGGAGATTTGACAGATTGGCTGTGGTCGCTCATAAAGACGATGCGCGCGGACATGTCTTCCCTCAAGCTCGTTCCTCCGGGCCAGGTGCTTTGCATCGAAGCTTGGGCCGTTTACGTCACACCAAAGACGCGCGGCGGCTCCACGTCGATGCGCGGATCGGAGGCGGCGGATAAACAGCAGTCCGAGGCGCATCGCGTCGTCTTGCGACAATGCGAAGACGTCGAGAAGCGATTTGCGGAGCCCATCTTTGCCAGATCAATGATTCGAGATCACGTCCCCACATCTTGTGAGTGTCGGCGCGTCGAGCCGCTCTTCAGTCGTCGAACGCTGACGGCGACTTGCGCGACGCAGACGAGCTCTGCACGCAGCTGCTCTTTGACAGCGTTGTTTCGCAAGAGGAGAGGGAGGAAACGGACCATCGCGAGTCAAGAGGAGAGTCTTGATGTGTGGCGAGGGGGCACAGCACCATCCGACGGTTACGAAGCTCGTTGCGCCAGGCACCTTTCATCTGTAATCATACCCCACTTTGTCGTCTCCATATCATCTCTTGCTCGCACATCAGTGTGGCAGCTTCGATGCATTCACTCCCGTAGACTTGTGACGCACAATCACGAATATGGAATCCAGTCGCTGCTCACGTGACTGCTAGTCACGAATAGTAATTCTGACGCAAGACTACTGCGTGACAAAGCTGCATGAAAGCTCAACCGAAGGAGGTCATGGAAGCCTGAGCGATGCACGCCACGCTTAGCTTTGCGCCCATCACGCTGCGTCTACATGCGCGCGGTCAAACTTGCGCGCGCGCGTGAGATGAACGACTTGCAGGAGCGGGCGTCATCCGGCCTCCGCCATGATGCGGAGAGCACGACTTGGACCCAAACTGGCGGCAGCAGCGCCAATCTCGTCTTTGCTTCCCACGCACACTCACTCGCTCACTCACTCACGACTCTCCACTCGAGCCAGTCGGATGTCACACTCCGTATCCAAACGATTCTGCAATGCTTCCTGAAAGTCAACCGGTTGGCAGGGCACGCTTGAGCTGCGCACCCTGGTGAGTCTGGCTCGATGCGAATGGCGAGGGCCAAGCCCGCCCGACCATCAGCTGCTGCAGCAGCAGCAGCGTTTCAAGCAGCTCAACGTGACACGCTCTCTCGCTTGACCTTGCCCCAAATAGTCGCAAACGCAAATCCAAGTGCGATGAGGGCTCAGTGAGTGGGATCCAAGGTTCTGCATCAAAGAATTTTCAGCGCATACAAGCTGCTCAACTCACCGATCTGTTATTGCCCCACGCAGCCGTGCTCGTCCTGCGTCACGCACGCCACGATCGATGCGTGCCAACCGCCCACAGCGTCCACAAGTCGAGCTGGAGCCAAGCAATCCCGTCCGCCGCACGTTTTGGCAGCGACGTTACAGCAAACAGGCACCAGCAACAAGCGAGCGCGAAGGGAATCTGCTTCGCGCGCAGCTGGGGTGCAGAGCTCGGAAGCAGTGGGCCACGAAGATGTGATGGAGCAGATGGACAAGCTTCGAGAGGAAATGGACAGGCTCAGGGATAGGCTGGTGGAGCGACAACGTCAGAGCGAGCAGCAGCAAAAGCAGCGGGCATCTCCAGTGGACGACATGGTCCAAGGCACCCTGCCTGCCAGACAACATCCCAACCCTCTGCCACCGCGAGACGCAAAGCTGCAAGCTCTCGTGCGAACCATTTTCCCATCGCAAAACGATTGCGAGGTGCTTCTAGAGTACGTCATGCAAGAGGTGAGTGACGCGCGTTTGATGGCTTGAATATGGCCGTACTCTCTCGACTGAGGCCTACGCTTCCATTGCGCAGCCCGAGTGGCTGGTAAATTGCGTGACGTGGCAGTGGATTCTGCCCATTTGGTCCAGATTGGTGTATGGCTGCCGAGTGAGACAGGTAGAGGTTGCCATCCTAGCTGGACTCCTCTCTGTCAGCTGCGTGCTCCTAGACGAGACGCCGCACGTCTACTACGAGCTCAGTGCGCCCCCGGTCGTCTTGCAAAAGCCGCTGCTCGACTTTTTGTGCGAATTTGTCAAGAGCCACGAGCAGCCGGCTCCGCACGTCAATAGGCCGGACGATCCCGAGCTGCTGGACAATCTCATCGTGTATGCCCTGGTGGCAGAGTTTATGCGCATAGCAGGCAGGCGAAAAGCGGAGCTTGGCGCTCTTTCGAAAAAGGTCATTCGCGCTTCCATGCAGCGCTCGGGCTTTATGGACGAATCCTCGCCCGCTTGGTCCAGCTTTGACGATCTCGAGCGCCAGACTGCTCGACGAGTAGCTTGGCACATTTTGATCTGCGAGCGGTGAGTCGTGCTTCTCTTCCACCGCAGCGCTCCACTCCTCATACGCGCGCTTACACACACATTCGCAGGTGGGCAAGCATCTACGTACCTGTGCCGTCGCCGATCGAGCTGCGCAAGGAACACGTCAAAGTTCAACATCCACGCTGGAAGACTGGCCATCTGACGCGTCCCTTCCGCGCCCACCGGGATTCAGCCCTGTTGCAGGAAGAGCCGATCGTTTTGCGAGCACCTGCGCGCAACGTGCCTCGCGTATTCAGACTCAAGGCGGACGATGAAGACGACGATGTGGCACGATTTGGCGAATTGATGATATCCATTTCCGCCATCACACCCGACATTGGCAGCTACCTCTCAGCCGTCACTGCGTGGCGAGCGTCGGTCAGCAACGACAGCTCTCCGTCGGACTCGGCTTCGACTTCCACATCCGCTGCTCGTCGCGGGTCCGAACACAAACGCGAGTCGTTGCTTCATCAGGGCTTGGCGCTGTATGAAGAGGTATCTACGTGGAAGGACGAGCTGCCGCAATTCATGCAGCAGCTCTACACACTAGATGGCAACGACTTTCACGCTTGCCGAAGGGCGAGTCAAGCAGCCATCGCGTTTACTGGCGCCAGATCGCTCATCACTGGCATTCTAAGTCCCTGGGTCACAGAACATGTGTATGAAGAAGGCGCTTCCCCCATACACCTCAAGATGCAGGGCCTGGCTGTAGCGAATGCTGAAGCGGTGGTCCGCAGCATCGAAGTGACGCGCACTTTGCTGTCCTGCAAGCGCGCAGTATACTTTGGATCCTGGGCTGCGTACTCCTTCTTCAATGCCGCTACCACGCTAGCCATTCCTTTGCTGGGCGCCACTCGGTTGGGTCAGGAGGCAAAAGGTACATCTGGTCGCCTGGCCAAGATTTTTGTCGGTTTTAACCAGACCAATTCCAACCCACAAGCCTCGTTGGCAAAGTTTATCAATGGCGTCCAGAACAGTGAACGATCAGATTACTGCTTACCTAGTGACGGTCTTGACACGAGCAAGTCTGCCAGCGGATCCGGTGGACAACAAGCATCCGTCGCTGAGCACTTGCGACAACTTGCGCCAGACATTTTGCGCTTGTTGCATCTGCTTCCAGATCTACGCGGTAGCCCTCTGGGTCAGGAGACATCGCAGCGCATTTCGACTCTCATCGATACGTTCAAAATCAATCAACAGCCCACCACCTTGTCCGCTCCTTCTGCGGCCGCCGCCAGACCCATCGACTACGCAGCGCAATCTTCCGTGCAAGCGCCAATGCTCTCCACGCCAGGTTTCGGCTCGGACAGCGGTGTTTCTTTTGACTCGTTTCCGGGTCCTGCGCTGGTGGAGCAACAGACTCCGGCTGGGTTTGGCGGCGTGGCAGATTGGAGGGATGTGCGGGGTTTCGAAGTGCTCGACTCGCTCGTCTCGCTCAGCGATGAGTGGTGGAATGACCTCATGAGGGGCGCTGTGCCAGCCACTGGTACCACTCCCAACCCTTCCCATCCACCTCCTGGCGCTCCCCCTTGATCGCGTACACGTACCTTGTTGTATAACATGACTAAGCTTCATCGCACAATCCTCGCCCTTCCGCTTGCAATGCAATCATCTTGACCACGTTTCGACGTCTCTTTGGCGACGATCAAGTGGATCCTGCGCTGCATCAAATCCGGCTTGGCAAGGCTCCGCGGCACGCTCGGTCAGCAGCGGCATGCCGAAGGAACGAGGCAAGCCGGCAAGCCGCGCGCCAAACGCAACGAACCATCATCGGGGCAGATCAAGCGCCACGATGTTCCTGCATGCATGACCGGGTCATACGCGTGCCCACCGCCGCGACCATGCAAGAGGCGTCCAAATCCGATGGAACTCGATGTGAAAAGCGGATCGGGTCGCTGTTGCGACTGAGTCAGCCGCACGACGCATGTGTGGACGGACGGAGCCGCTTATGCTCTTGGCTGTTCCGCTGCGCGACGGAGACGTGCAAACAGGCAGTGATGGATGGATGACCTGGAAGCAGAAGAGTCTTGCGACGTGAGCCCTTACATCATTTGCACGTCCTGGACCGTCGCACTTGCGCAGGGCTGCTCAAGATATAAAGCCCAGGACGTGCCTCGTGATTCTAAGAGCAACAACGAGTGTGCCAGTCTTGTGCCGAATCCACCCCGCAGCCCATCTC